TTTACTTTACTCGGCCAATAACTGGGAGGGCGCTCCCCGCGCCATCTTCTCATTAGCCAGCCTCTTCATTGTCCCCCGCCCCCCGAGCCAGGGATTCGCTTAAAGGAGCAGGGAGGCGGGACTTAATACGTCACCTCTTCCTGGTTGGTTTGAGGTGGGGTCCGGCCCCTAGGTTCGAATTTCTGAGCCTTCGTAGGATACCGAGCTGCCAATTAGGGCCGAGCCCTCGGCTGGGACATCAGAGGTGGGTCCTCTGGGTCACGCCCTGGAGGCCGGATGTTCAGTCGTTCTCAGCAATGCACTCTGATTGGGCTATCAGATTGGGGGTGTGGCCCGGGTCCCTTAGGCTCGCCTTGGCTTTTCTAGGGTTTGCAGGAGATACACTTGGTATCCTGGGCCTCAGGGCTGCGAGCTGCTTTGGACCATGTGTTCGGCCGTCTTCCTTTGGGTCGGCCCATCCAGGAGGGCGCACATCGGAAGCGGGGAGAGGCGCAGAGTAGGCTGGGGGTCTTCCCAGCGGCTCTCCGGCCTCGGGTTCGGCCGCCGCGAGCGCCCCCGCCCCGCCCCCGCAGCCGGATGTTGTGATTCCTCTCCACCCACACGGCCTCGCCCGCCCTCGGCCTCTGCTCCCTTATAAGGCAGCACTACCACCCCGAGACGTTGGGATGAGCTCACACCCATTATACAGGTGGGGAGCTGAGGCGCCAGAGGTCCTGTAGCTGGCTCCAGGCTGAAGACTAGTAAGAAAACAAGGCCCAAATTTCACAGCTAATGAACCTCTAGCTCAACGTCCTACTCCTTCTACCCCTCCTTCACACACCGGGAAACAGAGACTTGCCCAAACTCAGCGAGTAAGGCAGAACCTGATTCAACTAGGCTTCTGTTACCTATCCATTCATTCATCCCAAACTATAGAGCATCCGCTTTGTGCCAGGCACGGAGCCAAGTGCTGGGGAATACAGTGGTGTCAGCAAGATAGCCCAACTCCCTGCTTACATGCTAGGAGTGGGGTAAAGGGGATAATCCTGTAAATAAGTAGGATGGTTTCAGAGAGTGGTAAGTGCTATTAAGACTGAAAATTAATAAAGAGAAACCTCATTTAAAATGGAGTCGGGAGGCCAGAAGGGGGAGCCCTCAGGCACTATAACTGGACATTAATTATGGACCCCAACAGGAAGGCGTCAATTAGGGAACAACAGGAAGACACACCTTGTAAGTTAATACTACTTTACTACTCCTGCGGGAGGAAGGAAGGTTTCCTTTCTTGCCCAGCAGCCCAGCCAATGAGAAACCATCAGCACCTTGAACTCTTCCTTTCCTCCCGTGAACTTTTATAACAACCTCTCTCAACTTCCTTTTTCTCTATAAAGAACGTTCCTCTTTGCTTGTTGGACTTGCCTACGGTTTTGCTATAGTATGCTTGTCCTGAATTGCAATTCTCTTCTCTTCCGCAATAAGCCCATTTTGCTGGTAAAATAACTGCCTGGTTTTTTGTTTGTTTTTGTTCTGGGGTTTTTTTTTTTAGGACCACAAGACAAAATCAGGTAAAGGGAAATGGTGTCAGAGTGTGACATTTGAGCAGATCCAACCACACAAAGATCTGGGGGAGCAGAGTTCCAAGTAGAGGCAAGGGCAAGTGCAAGGGCTTTGAGCCTCCGGTAAGTTTGTTGTCTTCAAGGAACAGGAAGAAAACCTGTGTGGCTTCAGGGCCCAAGGGTCTGGGATGAGATGAAGGAACATGGACTCTGGCTAGGTTGTGGAAGGCTTTGTAGACTATGGTGAGAAGTTTGTTTTTCTTAAGTGAAATGTGAAACCTTTGAAAGGATGATTTATAGGTCACTTTAGCTAGTGGACTTCAGGGAGGCCAAGACTGGAAGCAGAAAGAGCAGTTGAGAGGCTACAGAATTGCGGGAGAGAGAGGATGGTAGCCTGGACCAAGAAAGTGGCTGTGGAGGTGGAAAAAACTGCATGGATCTAAGATACATTTGGGAGTAAAGGTAGTGCCTTGAAAGAAGAAAACCCAGTGGCTAGTAGGACAAAGCGCTGGTACCTCGCCCAGTGAAGGCTGTGGTGTCTAAGTGAGACCTGAGAGTTAAGTGAGAATGTGCAGGTTTCAGAGGTAATTGGAGCGGGGAGAGAAAGAGCCTTCTGACACAGGGCCAGTGGATATTCAAAGCTCTCTAGAGGAAGGCAGTGAGGACTCAGGCATTTAGCCCTTGAGGCCAGAGCACTGAGCTCGAGTTTCAGGTATGCACTGGGATGAGCATGGGGGCCAAGAAACGAGGCTTGGCCTTGGAGGGGCCTCGATCAAGGAGGTCTTTGGAAGCCAGGTAAAGAGTTTAGACTTCATTTTCAGGAAAGTGGGGTGTTGTCGAAGGTGTTTTAAGCCGGGAAGCCATGTGATCAAAGTTGCTTACTCTGAGCTGCTCTGTGGAGCCCTGCTAGGGGTAGGGACCAAGGGTGGGGAAAGAGGAAAGTTGCTTACTCTGAGCTGCTCTGTGGAGCCCTGGGGGACAAAGGGTGGGGAAAGAGGGGCTTAGGCTGACTTGTAAACACCTGTCAATTTTAGTGCCTAGCATCTGAACACTGCTTCTCTTTAAGACGAAACCCATGAAATGCAGACACAGGCCCTGCATTCCTCTAGAGAAAGCAGAGAGGGGGTAAAATTCCTCTCTGAGGTCCCTGGTAGCTGGCACACATTTCCAAAGCTTCCAATTAGGAATTTGTATCCAATGCAAGTGACTAACATAAGACATCAGAGGGACCATTTAAGATTCATTATGGGGGCAATAGAAAGAGAGGGAAAGGAGGTCAAGTCAGGCCCTTCCTGGGACAGGGGGATTTAGCAAGCATCCAGGAGCATCCAATCAACTCCTTGTCTTTATTGTTTGCAGCCAAATGTCCTGAGTAAGACAGGCGAGAGGCATTTTAGGAGGAATCATTAGAGAGAAGCAGGGCTCTGTGCCTTGGCAGTAGTCAGGAGGTACCCCATACAAGTGGCCAGATTGAGAGCAATGATGCAGCTAGGATAAACAGGACTTGACGGCTGATATGGAATGAAGAGGGGAGTCACGCATAACTCTTGGGTTTTGGCTTTTCAACCCATTCTCCACCTACAGCAAAGTGATCTTTTTAAAAGGAGAATTTGCCACCCACCATCTGAGATACGCATTTCTAGGAATTTATCCTCCAAACGTAATTGCACTCAAGTGAAACAAGAAAAGAATGTTCAAGGTTATTTCTTGTAACATTGTCCAAAAAGATGAACTGTACTAATCATTCTAAATAAGGACTGATTAAAATTTGGTCCTTTCTGGTACAGGAATGCTATGTAACTGTCAAAAAAAAGTGCAGGGGCTCTTCCTATACTGACATAAACAATCTCCAAGATATATTGTTAAATGAAAAAAGCAAAGTACAGAGCACTGTGTAAGGTTCGCTACCATTTTTTGTGGAAAGGGTCAGGATAAGCTAGGTTATGCTGCAGTAACGAACAATCTCTAAATTTCAGTGACTTAAAACAACAGTTTCTTTCTTAGGTCCACCACACGTCCAGTGCAGGTTGTTGGGAGGTTGGGAGGCTCCACTCAGTGTTGTCACTGAGGGACCCAGGATAACAGGGGCTCCATCTCAATTTGTGCTTCTACGATGGCAGCTAGTGAAAAGAAATGTGGTGAATCATCCTATGGCCCTTAAAACTGGCACCTAAAAGTGCTACAAGCCCCTTCTACTTACATTTCGTCAGTCAAGGCAAACCACGTGGCCACAACTGACTCAAAAGGGGTGGGGATACACCGTGAGGGAAGATCCTATTTTTCAAACATGAGCAAAGCAATAGATTCCCATCCCATAGGTACTTTGGCGATATGACTTTGCCATCCCCACATCAAGAGGTGGACTCTACTAATTTTCCTGTCTGTAGTCACTCTTATCAGTAGAATCTGGTGGGAGTGATGCACGTGACGTCTGACACTAGGTCAGAAAAGGCCATGCAGCCTGTTGCTCTGGCAGTGTTTGCTCTCTGGAAGCTTCTCTTGGGGTAGTCCCTCGGAATCAGTGGCCAGGCTGTGAGAAGCCCAAACCGATGGAAAGGCCATATGCAGATGCTCTGCTCCCATCAACAGGCCTCCCGCAGCACCATGCATGCGAGCGAGAAAGCTTCCAGGTGATTCCAGCTCCTGGCCATTGGGATCAGCCCCAGCCATTCAAGTATCTCCACCTAAGGGCCCTGGCATTTGTGGTGGGGAGACAAAGCCATCCTTGCTGGGTCCTGCCTGAATTCCTGACCCGAAAAATCTATGAGCAGAATAAAATAGTTGTAATTTTATGCCACTAAATTGGGAGGAGTTTTTTACACAGAAATAGATTCCTGGAATAACTACTCTAGGCCTGGAAGGAGATTATTATTGGTAATATTTGGGGGATAGCACTAACAGTTATCACAGATGGATGTGCTTCAGCGGCCCGCCTCTGGACAGCCAGTGCAGCCCAGGAACATTGGTTGCTTCTAGGAAGGGGGATTAAGTGGCCCAGGGCAGGGGTGGGAGGGAGGCTTTACATCATATACCCTTTTGTATTTTTAATCTTGTGTCACAAGATTTTGTTTTGTTCGTATCGTTTGTTGTAAAAACAATCACACCGATCTTGTCACTCTCCTACTCAGAATGCTCCAGCAGCTTCCTGCGGTGGGTAGCCCCAGCGATTCCCCTTCTTGGTATTCCCCCCCTCAGTGGGGTCCCCTTCCTTTGAGCATGGGCCAGACCCAATGACTCACTTCTAATGAAAAGAATGCGGCAAAGTGATGGAACATCACTTCCAAG